GGGGGGAGGGAGGCGATCGCCGAAGGGAAGAGAAAGGCTCCGACCTCCGCGGGCGGCGCTGTCGTTTACGACGCACGCGGGGTCAAAGGGCGGCCGGAGCGGTAAATCACTTCTTCAGGCGCTCCCGCGCGGCGCCTGCCGCTCTCTCCTCCCTTTCGCTCTCCGCAAAGGTCTCGCGCGACTGCCGACCCGTTCCCGAGAATGACCCGTTTCCGAGGACGACCCGTTTCCGGAGAGCGAACCCGTTTCGAGAGCGCCCGTTTCGAGAGCGACCCGTTCCCGAGAGCGACCCGTTCCCGAGAGCGACCCGTTCCGAGAGCGACCCGTTCCCGAGAGCGACCCGTTCCCGTAGAAGCGACCCGTCTCCCGAGAGCGGACCCGTTCCCGAGAGCACCCGTTCCCGAGAGGCGACCCGTTCCGAGAGCGACCCTTCCCGAGGAAGCGACCCGTTCCGAGAGCGGACCCGTTCCCGAGAGCGACCCGTTCCGAGAGCGACCCGATCCCGAGGACGACCCGTTATTGTGCTAGCGTCAACCATGTTGTTGCTAGACTTGAGCGGTTAAAACATTACTATTACACTTTTCCTCAAAATGTTTGGCTGCATATTATTACAACTATTTTTTTTTTCATTTTAGGAGCATGTAAAATGTATGTTTTCCCTGAGTAGCATTTGTGCACCTCAGTACAAAGGGTTACGTTCTGACTTCCAAATCACCCGGACAAAGCAGTGATTATCCACGAAGTCAGTTCTCTTTTTAGAGAAGCATTTGTAAGGGCAGTCAAAACACAAAATGTTTTCTCTGTATTTAAAAACACGGGGATATACCCTCTACAATTTTTTGATGATGCTTTCGCTTCAGCTGAAGCGACAAATTGTCAACTAACTAGAAAATCTTGCAAAGTGGAAAAAATGTTGACCAGAATATTAAAAAAAACAGTCTTAGTACGTGCAGCACAGACTTTCCATATGTTATAGCAAAAGGTATCTAATACTTTTTAAGTAAGTATCAATATTTTTTAACACAATGTATTGTTGCAATGTAACATTGTAATTGTTGCTACAAGCTTAACGGTTCCTCTTTGCCCCTCGTTCCCTAATCGTAGGCTGCCGCGACAAGTTATGCAAAGGCTGTCGGGGAGGCCCTACGACGAGGTTAGTGATGCCGACGTTCATTCTCGCCCTGAAGAAGACCACTGTATGATGGTCGAAACGTCGGCGTCTTTGCCCTCGCCGCGGCGCCACCCGGACAGCCGATAGCCTTACAAAAGAAAGTCATGTCGCAATATTACAAAGTTACGTTGTATATTTATGTACTATCTTGTACAACGCTCGCCTGCTAACGATGGGAACGAGTGTTCACTCTCGGTGGATTCATGTGGAATGCGAGGTGAAGAAAGCGGGCATGCTTTCTCTGGGTGATCTCGTCTTCTCTGCCTCATATTTACGTTCGTCATTCGCATCATACCATCATGATCACCAATCCATCAATTCAGCCTCCTTATTCGAACACTCCAAATATAGTTACAAGGTTAGAAAGTAACATTGATATAAAGATGTTTCCCTGTCTCCAAAGACTCTGTTCGTTTTGTAGTTACTTCTGGAGGACGACCAGTGGCGTATGGATTCGCTCGTTTGTCTTCCATAGTTGGAACTCAGTGTGGTGGATAACGCGGGTGGGAATAATATTCTTGAGATACTGCCGCCTCCTCTGCCTCTAATTCTACCATTCACTCAATTATTGTTATTATTCACCAAACAATCAAAATAGTTCTTTCACAGCAGGTATGGCAAGAAGGCTAGCATCTAGCATCGCAGAACAGATTCGTACATCCCACACATTAAAAATTGTGCTCACGGTGTAATTGCTTCGTAAAGACGTCGGTTAGCAAACATGTAACATAAACAGAACATAAAAGTGAAAAGTCTCCATTTAAAATTGATTTTTATAAAATGTTTCCACTATCAATGATACATTACCAACAAGGTTCAAATTTACAAAATGTTATACTTTAGTTGACTTACGCTTATACGAAGATATCACATTTCTTCTAAGAAAACTAAAACCCAAAATTTGATATGTTGTCCTATTTTTATCACCACCTAAAGAGTAGCAACGAATCTTTGAAAGTTGACATGAATGACGACAAAATCATTCCTCCATGAATCAAAGGAACACTATCACATATTCAAAAAATGCATTATATAAATAAATATTAATATTCGTTAAATTTTATTTTCCTTTATTGCCGACTTTATTTTGGGGTATAACTAAAAGTATAATATGCAGTGTACCGTGTTTCCGCAACGCGATGTTTAACGTTTGGGACGAAATGGAGAAAATAACTCCCATAATGAATTCCGTATTTTTAGTAGCCGGTATATTAATTCATTCTCTGGGTCTATAAGTAATGCGCAATACGCTTTTCTATTGGAAGGTTCCTGAATAATAAATAGAGAATCAATTTGTTCCCACGCGCACGAGACGCAGCTCATTTGCGCGTCACCGCTGGTGCGCGTGGGGGTAACAACTGATTCAGGGGCATGTGACACGATGTTAATTAACCGTTTCGATGTAAATGACAGACCTTGAACACGAATATAATGACATACAGTCAACAGGAAGACGCATTATATTTTCAATTCACCCTGCTTGTCCTCATTAGAGCTCAATATAAAATGCCATCATTTTAATTTTGACAACCTTCGTGAAACATTTTAAATACATATATGAAATCAAATTGTTCTGTGAAAAAAGAAAACAATATTTAGGGAGCATTTTTGCGTGTATGTTGTAGACAGACCCTAGCAAAAGCGAATTCTTTTAAATCATGCCAAGCGTGATAACAGTTCAATTCTTAGTACTGATGCTAAAAGTGAGGCTGCGAGATAAAACTAAATATAAAAATAAAACCAAATACTTTCGCCTGATCACATCAGCTACTAATAGCAACAAAGTGATTTGTGTGCTTGAATAAAAATAAAATTAATGTCAATAAGGCACTTTTATCATCGCATCACAAACAACTATTGTGTATTGACACAATATTAGCTTTAAGTGATAGACGAATAATAAGGCAACACAATAAGGGGCTTTTTGTTTAAACTTCTTTAACCGACACCTCAACAATGTTTATTGACTCCAACTTTTGTTTTTTAATAAACCACGGTTGCCACAATTTTTATATTAATTTAATTTCAACAGAAGTAAAATGTGTATAAAGTAGAAGTAAAAATGTATTCCAAATTTCCAACGTTTTTGAACAAATTCCCTATTTCTCTTGGATATAAAAACGTTAAATGGGTGAGATGCTGACATTGTTGTCATCTAATAATACATAAGGATACGTACTTTGTTCTCTGATGGGACTGATATGAAATATAATGGAAACATATTGTTTATCTATATGGCCTGAGAGAGGGGAGAACGAGAAGGAGGAGAGAGATAGAGAGTGAGGAGAGATAGAATGCGGAGAGAGGGAGCGAGGAGGAGGGAGTGAGGAGAGAGGGAGTGAGGAGAGAGGGAGCGAGGAGAGAGAGAGTGAGGAGAGAGAGAGTGATGAGAGAGAGAGTGAGGAGAGAGAGAGTGATGAGAGAGAGAGTGATGAGAGAGAGTGATGAGAGAGAGAGTGATGAGAGAGAGAGTGATGAGAGAGAGTGATGAGAGAGAGTGATAAGAGAGAGAGTGATAAGAGAGAGAGTGATGAGAGAGAGTGATGAGAGAGAGTGATGAGAGAGAGTGATGAGAGAGAGAGAGATGAGAGAGAGAGTGATGAGAGAGAGAGTGATGAGAGAGAGAGTGATGAGAGAGAGAGTGATGAGAGAGAGAGTGATGAGAGAGAGTGATGAGAGAGAGGGATGAGAGAGAGGGATGAGAGAGAGAGGGATGAGAGAGAGAGGGATGAGAGAGAGGGATGAGAGAGGGATGAGAGAGAGGGATGAGAGAGTGATGAGAGAGTGATGAGAGAGAGTGATGAGAGAGGGAATAGATGCCAAAAAATACGATAATAAAGCAATAAGATGAAATAATCATAAATTTACAAAAATATAAATAATTCTAACACCACTTCATCTCGATCGAACTTTTTGTCGTTCTCGTAGTTTCTTAAAGCGACTACAAAAACTTATTTTTCTTTGGGGGAGTGATTGTAGGTTTGAATTGTCTTATTTGTACACATTTCATTTTATTAAATAAATGAAAATTATATCACAACTTTACAAGGTCGCGATAATTATTGTTCTATATTGTTCAACGAAAGCAATCTCAATTCACCAGTAACCATACTCGTATTATACGCATTACTCACTTCAAGCTCACCCTATTGTGTTGACAAGCTTGAGAACAATTCCTTCATGAATATCCCTTGCTTAAGGTGCTTGGGTATTAATGAATGCATCAGATCCAAGTAGTAACAATCAATTCATTGCACCACGGCACAGACAGGAAATGTACGTTTTATGACCTCGAGTGAAGTAAGAATCATTTTTAACTAGACTATGAATGGCAAATAAATGACAATATCGCAGAATAAAAACGCCTCCCTGAATATTATTTTGTAATTCGCACATTCTTATTTTCCACAGGAAATTATAGACTACAAGGACAAGAACTAAACAATCAGAGCCTATCAACAACGTGTTTGTAGTGCCATTCTATAGATTCACATGATCAGAATACAAGCACGATTGGCCAATCAAGACCAGAAGTAATCCTATTGTAATACTCGTGATTCTGTTTCCGTTAAAAAGGGAAGTCTGGTCGTCTTATGTCATCTTCTATTGTTCTGACACCCGTGGGATAAACTGCTCCTTGAATACACCTTGCGTCATCGCTTGCGACGGGCGTCCGCGTCACGTGGCCGAAATCAATGTGCTGCTCGACGTGGAACGAGTCGAAATCAACGCGCTGCCGCACGTGGAACGAGTCAAAATCAACGCGCTGCCGCACGTGGAACGAGTAGAATCGAGAGCAGCGGCTGCGAACTGCGGGAGGTGGACGTACCTGCACAGGCGTCCACTGGCGGCGGCGGCGGCGGCGGTGGCGACGGAGGCTGGGACGCGCGTGCGAGGCCTGTTCTCACAGACTGACGTGAAGCGCGCGTACGCGCCGGCCATCACGGCGGTCCCCACCGCCACCTCCCCCTCCGTCACCTCTGCCACCCCTCCACTCCCCTCTTCACCCCTACCGATAAAGCCCGCTCCCCGCGAACACCTCCCGACCATCACTATATCCAGCTCCTCGTTACCGCTCTCAGGTCATCAACGTTCAAACGCTACCATCAACACACCCACAATCACCGCTCCCACCGTTGCCGTCTCCTCCACCGTCATCGTCCCCAAAGGTATCCCTCCTCGCTTATAAGCGTCGTCTCCATTCCCTTACTGCTCTATCACCATACTACGACCTGCTTAGGTGGCTCAGGGCATCAATAATGTCACTGCAGTGCCTCCGACCGGGCGGTCCTAGGGTTCGGGTCTCGACAGTGGGGCATGATTTTCGACTCTGGCTAGACAGCTACGTCGAATTCCGCCGCTGTTTGGAGGACAATTTCAGCGGCCCCATTCTCTCGTTTCTCCGATCAACACCAGGCGAATGCCGGAGCAGTACCTTATGAAACGGCCACGTGCTATCTTTCTTCCCTTTTCCTTGTCCTATCTTCACCCCTTACTTACACACACAATTACTTGCTCTACACTACCACACAAGTCGGAAGACCAATTGGAAGCTCTCGGCAGCGCCCCGCTGGTGGAGATACATCGTAGGAGAAAACCCGAAAGCCGACGGGAATGTCGGCGCAGGTTCCAACCATTCACTGTCACCTATCTCGATAAAAACATGCACTAGTCTTTCACGTCCAATAACCTTACCATGTTTAGTATGTTAATGATCTATACTAGGATTTATTTGCACTTTACGTAAATCAGCGGTTCACGGTTTTATCCAACCGGGAACTTGAAGGTCCCCATTGGATGAAACCACAACAGCTGATTTACGTCAAGTGTATGACTAAATAACTCGTACTATAGTTACCGCGCTCTGAATCACAGATCAATCAACTACAGTACATCCCCGCTGCCGTTGCCATGGCCGCTCCGCCCGTCGCCCGCCGGCTGCCCCGTTGACCACCGTTGGCCGCTGCGAGCGGACGCGGCGCGGCGCTTCCAGGAAGCCCTGCGATTCGCGGGCCGCCGCCGCCGCGCCGCACCTACTTTTCGCTCCCCGCCGCGCCGTTTATGATCTATTCCTGGATTTACCGGCACCGCTCAGTGATGTTACGACGCGCTTACTCTTCGCGGGAACTACGCCACGATGTGGGGCAATCGGTCCGGGAAAGTACCTCACGGACGAGAAAGAACTCTGCGACGATTCTGCGCCGTGCAATGGCCTGAACGTATTATCATATTTTCTAACATACGATTTCAAATGTATTACTTATGAATATAAAACCTTTCCAAAGTGTTGTTTGTAACTTAAAATATAATGCAAATTCAAAACATGCTATCTGTTTAAGCATATGTCTAAAATAAAAAAAAATTATCAATTTTAAAGCTACACATTTATCCTTTTTGCGTATCCTGGGTACGTGGGAAAGCAACTTATATAGTTTACTTTCCGCGAGATTGAATAGTTGCCATCGACAGTCACATTTAGTATTTCCAAATTTCGAATTTCAAAACACTAAGAAGATGGAGAGAGTACACCGCGCATTCCCACTACTGTTCAAAGTTTGCTTTATATTTTTTAATTATTTTCTTTTTTATTCGTCAATCAAAATCGAAAATGAAATAAACAAGTCATTTCATCAATAAAATATGAAGTTTGTTTCGTATAAACAATTTTATTTCATTTCACTGTTGCATTTTCCGTGAGAAGTGTATGTTAGCAATGTTTCATTAATAGAATATTTTTTATACTCTTTAATAAATGCAATGCATATACAACCAGTATTAGAAGTTATTTAATGGAATATTGATATTAATACAACTTAATGTTAGATTGTTAAAATACAAGATAAGTAAGTGAATAAATGTACCTTTGTTTGGTACTATTATTTCACTAAAAAGAACACGAAAAACTATTGAGGAGTAATGCTCCTTCGATGAATTCGTTCTGTGATACATGAGAGAGATCAAATTCGTCTGTATGATGAAGAGCTCGGACTGAATGCACCAATGCATACTTGAACTGAAGGGAGCAGATCGTTGGCATGAAGAGACATGGCTGATAAAAAAGAAAAGGTAGTGCATTGTTGCGGTTCGTCGAGACAGAACGCGAAGAGCGAAGTGCCGAAATGATGAAGCAGCCTCTCCGATGCTCTGCGAATTGAATAGAATTTGACTGCGGTTGTTGATGTTACAGCAGAGATCTTTTGTTGTCACAATGACTGTTCAATTGTCCGACGCGAAGACTTGGATACCGTTTCTTGCCACAACTCGTTGGCGCTTCTTTCCCGTCGTCTACAACATGCATTAATGTCAGGAGTACTGAATACAAATTGAAAATAGTACAAGAGAAACTTAATTGAGTCAGTTAGAAATTTGAATTATTTGGGTCTTTTATCTATTATCATTTTAAGAACACATGAAAGTATACTACAGGAACAGTTATGCTTTCTCAGATGAGATGTTGGTTCGCTATGCCTTAGTATGCTGCGGGAAAAAAAACGCGCGCCAAAAATCACACCCGAAAATTTGAGTGGTGATGACTGTGAAGCGGTGTATATCTTGTTCCACGGAGTAAGGGGCGGGATCTTAAAAGTGGACACGAAGTCCGTTATTCATTTAAACTTCCTCGCATAAGAACTGCCCTTCATCGTAATAACATCCGGATTAACCCAATGCTAGTTTTTCCCGATTCTACGTATTTCGATCTAAGAATCTTAGAAAAGCCCATGGCTAGCTAGAAGCTACCAGCTTTTCTTAACCATTGAGTGAAAAGATACGAGTATATAATCACTGCAGCGTTGGAACTATTCCCTACTCAACGTCTTTTGAGTTGGACCGCAAAATATGTTTGGTTAATTGCGTAATATTTATTGTTATGGAAGTTGGGGGATGCTAACCCCGACGAGATCGACCCAAACTTGGGGGCCACAAGGACGAATTCAGGTTGGCATGGAAACTCTTCCCGCATCCCCGTCTATTTGGCACTAACTACGTTGACGTCAGCAAGAAACTGGGGAAGGTGCATGGCCAGCTAGATGATACCAGTTCTCTCGGTTCATTGAGTGAAAAGATACGAGTAATACAATCACTCCAGCTTTTGGACAATCCCCTGCTCAACTTCTGAGCATTACCTAACCTCCATTGACACCACAACCGCGATGACCTCCCTGACCCTATCATCCGACGGTGGCGTGCAACAACACACGGTGGAAGTGAGACTATGCGGACAATAAACGCAGAGCTGGGACATTGCCAAAGTCGTGTAGTTAAGAAACAAAACAAAGCACACATTGCGCCCGAGACCCAGAGGGAAAATGTGAACATGTTTAGAACAAGAAAATTGAGGGGTGGAATTGAAATACAGACAAATCATAATTGATGTAATTGCATGGGTCACGATGATCCCCTGTTTTGATGACCAGAAGGTCGTTTTCTGAGCCGTTTCCTACGATCAATTCCAGAAGGATGTCAGCAAATCCTAAAACAAGGGGCCTTGCATATGACGTGATCCCTACTTTTCCATCTTGTTCCTAGTTCCAAGCGAAGTGTCGGACAATGGGGCTGCTCTTCAATCCTCAAATGGCTTATCCACATTATCTAGAAATATCGCAGTAGTATTCCTAGAAATTCACGGTTTGATTTAGGTAGACTCTCGCAACTCGTTCAAAATCTGGAGATTAGAAGGTTACATGGCTTGCTCCAGCGCTCCCGCCGATGTGCACCGTTAGTTCAAGGCCATATTTAAAACGCACACACCGGCGATGGCTCCACGTCTTGATATATGCACTTTAAATTTATCACTTCACAGACTTCAGATTTTGAATGCAGTTTCAAATTACTGATAAAATCTTAATTTCTCTTCCGTAGTTGTCGGTACTTTTATGAAGCAATTGATCCTCTTATCTCGAAAAAAATAAGACGTAAGAATTAGAAACGGACGAATAAATATAATGGGGAACAAGAAAATGAATAGAGTCGGTAAAAGAATGGTAATCTTTTATCATGTTTGAATGCTTGTATATTTAAAGACCGACAGACACAATAACAAAATAATTTACTTGGGCAATCTAACCAGTCCGGCTTATCGTGGTATCGTGTATCGTGCTCAAACATAAACTGTGCCGCCTGCCCCGGTCTATTTACAGATTAGTGGTTGCAGTCGAGACGTAGGAGAGAGGGCGGGCTCTTCTTGTGTAGTAAACTAGGGCCCAAGGGAATAACGTATAACAAATAGAGCTATAAAGGCCGCCTGCGAGGCCCCGCCTCTTGCAGCGTGGATTGAAATGTCCAGCTTCACTACGTGTTCTTTCAGGAACAAACTCGTGGGAGAGCTAGGGATGATTTCAAAACATCAATGTTTTTATAAAATCATCGATATTTTTAAGATAACATTATTTAAGCCGATGACTTTTTTAACATCTAATATTTTTCGATGTTTTTACAGGTTTGTTATTTATTAAATAAAGAAAGCCGTAATACGATTCTATAATAATTTTCAAATACACATACATTCTTAAAACCAAAGTGAGCAAAGATGAAAAATAAATTGAAAAATTGAGTTTTCGTCAATAAAGAAGCGCATGCAATTTTTGAATTATGGAATCTGATAACCCAAGTTTTGTTAATTGTGCTGATGATTTCTTAAACTTTGTTTTGCCAGTTAAATATCAGTTTCAAACATTAATAAACGATACCACTTTTAAATTAATTTCCCCCTGCGTGCACTTCAATAGTTACTAATGGCGTTTTACCAACATCGATGGATTTGGGTCGAGGTTTTGTTAACCTCGATGTAAAAATTTTTAGCATCGATGCTTAGGAACGTCGATGCTTTGTTCGCGATACCATACTCTTAATGAGAGCAGTCATCCTTCTCATTTCCTCTCCTCTCTCCCCTCTTTGCAAAACGGCAACCCAATGAGGGCTTTTATTAATGTCGTAAAGTGTAT